AGGGTTAGCGGTGTACAAGATGCCCAATGGTACTGAAAAACTGAGGACAACAGTCTTTGTTGAAGAGCTAGCCAATGTCTCCTTAGTGTACCATCCCAGATCATAGATGAACTTCTGCTCTTCACCCAGCAATCTGGAGGTATCCCTGAGCAGGGGATCTGGTTCCTGTCACTTTAAGCGTTAGATAGCTAATCTCGTTTCCCAACAGAGTGTTCCTTCCCTTATCCGCCCAGGGGGTGTAGGTGTACTCACACTTTCCCAACATTCTGGGTTTAATAACTTTGGGAAAGCATGTTTGACCTTACCTTTGTGTGGGTCAAACCTTGAGTAAGGGGCAGCATTGGAAGGTGATGGTTCACTGGGGTACAGCACATCAGGAAGCATATATTCAGCATGCATGACATATGCATGTCATGGAACACAATACTTTGAAGAAATCGCTCACTGGATATTTAGAGACTTTTATGATTTTTTTTTTTATTTGTTTATTTTAGTTTTATGTGTATGCGTTTTACATGCTTTTTTTATAGTATTTATGCAGTTTAAAGGGGAATTATGAACTATTAAGCACTGTATGTACAAGGGAAGTTGGGATTTATTGCACTTTATCGAGTTATATCATCAGTTTCATCACTAATTGTGTTTTATGCATTTACATGCGTTTGTCATTTTTCATTTTTATCACTTTCTTTGCTCATTTATAGTGAGTTATACTCAGTTGCACTGCATTTTGTTCTATTATTTGTTTTACCACCAGGTTTATCACAAATTGTGTTTTATGCATTTACATGTGTTTGTCATTTTTAGTTTTATAATTTTCTTTGCACATTTATAGTGAGTTATACACATTTAGTTGCACTGCACTTTTTCTACCCTTGTACTACATACAGTCAGGTCCATAAATATTGGGACATCGACACAATTCTAACATTTTTGGCTCTATATGCCACCACATTGGATTTGAAATGAAACGAACAAGATGTGCTTTAACTGCAGACTGTCAGCTTTAATTTGAGGGTATTTACATCCAAATCAGGTGAACAGTGTAGGAATTACAACAATTTGCATATGTGCCTCCCACTTGTTAAGGGACCAAAAGTAATGGGACAATTGGCTTCTCAGCTGTTCCATGACCAGGTGTGTGTTATTCCCTCATTATCCCAATTACAATGAGCAGATAAAAGGTCCAGAGTTCATTTCAAGTGTGCTATTTGCATTTGGAATCTGTTGCTGTCAACTCTCAAGATCAGATCCAAAGAGCTGTCACTATCAGTGAAGCAAGCCATCATTAGGCTGAAAAAACAAAACAAACCCATCAGAGAGATAGCAAAAACATTAGGCGTGGCCAAAACGAATGTTTGGAACATACTTAAAAATAAGGAACGCACCGGTGAGCTCAGCAACACCAAAAGACCCGGAAGACCACAGAAAACAACTGTGGTGGATGACCAAAGAATTCTTTCCCTGGTGAAGAAAACACCCTTCACAACAGTTGGCCAGATCAAGAACACTCTCCAGGGGGTAGGTGTATGTGTGTCAAAGTCAACAATCAAGAGAAGACTTCACCAGAGTGAATACAGAGGGTTCACCACAAGATGTAAACCATTGGTGAGCCTCAAAAACAGGAAGGCCAGATTAGAGTTTGCCAAACGACATCTAAAAAAGCCTTCACAGTTCTGGAACAACATCCTATGGACAGATGAGACCAAGATCAACTTGTACCAGAGTGATGGAAAGAGAAGAGTATGGAGAAGGAAAGGAACTGCTCATGATCCTAAGCATACCACCTCATCAGTGAAGCATGGTGGTGGTAGTGTCATGGCGTGGGCATGTATGGCTGCCAATGGAACTGGTTCTTTTGTATATATTGGTGATGTGACTGCTGACAAATGCAACAGGATGAATTCTGAAGTGTTTTGGGCAATATTATCTGCTCATATTCAGCCAAATGCTTCACAACTCATTGGACGCCGCTTCACAGTGCAGATGGACAATGACACAAAGCATACTGCAAAAGAAACCAAAGAGTTTTTTAACCTCCCTAGCGGTCTGATTATGTCCATATTTCTGTGCTCAAAGCGGTAAATTTTTTTGCAAGGAATATGTTTTTTTTTTATTGTAGGCCTGTAATTTTTAGGAATAACTCACTGAAATCAGTCCAAACAAGAGTCTAGTAAACATCCCGGGTAGGATAAAACTTGAAACACGAAATCATAAATTATAATTTAATAAATAATTATAAAAAATAATAATATAATAATAAATTTAATTCAATAATATAATCAAACCAAAAACACTGAAATTTGAAATATAGCGCCAAGTTCGCACATCACTGAGCAAAGTCGCAAAATTGTTTTCACTGTCTGATGACGAATTTCCCCACGAATCATTATCACTCAATTCTGCAAGTGGTTCTGATTTACTATCGCTGTTCTCTAGCTGGAATAAAAACCGCTTTTGACCTAAAGGGACGCTTTTTGGATGCCATGGACGTTTCTCAGTTTCCAGGCAGAAAAAAAACAGTAAAAATGCAGGCAGGGCACAGGACAAAGCACTAGGGACAAATTGTATGTGAAATGCTTTTATACAGTAATGTTTTACTATGTAATTTTAGTGAATGTCACTTGTCATTTTCAAATTTCCCGCCGTTCCGTCCCCCGTACGTCCCGACGCTCGCAGGGGACGGAACCCAGATGACAGATGCCGGCATCCGCCAGGTTACATTGCCAGGGACACTGCAGGAGGGACATTGCGTGAGCGCAGGACAAGGTAAGTGATCGAGGGATCCCGGAGCAGCGCCGCATGGTAAAGCCCGAGTGTGGTACTGAAACTTTACCCCGAGCTACATTCGGGAATACCGCCAGGCAGGTTAAGGGAAAGAAGTGGAATGGTATGCAATGGCCAACTCAATCACCTGACCTGAATCCAATTGAGCGTGCATTTTACTTGCTGAAGACAAAACTGAAGGGAAAATGCCCCAAGAACAAGCAGGAACTGAAGACAGTTGCAGTAGAGGCCTGGCAGAGCATCACCAGGGATGAAACCCAGCGTCTGGTGATGTCTATGTGTTCCAGACTTCAGGCTGTAATTGACTGCAAAGGATTTGCAACCAAGTATTAAAAAGTGAAAGTTTGATTTATGATTATTATTCTGTCCCATTACTTTTGGTCCCTTAACAAGTGGGAGGCACATATGCAAACTGTTGTAATTCCTACACCATTCACCTGATTTGGATGTAAATACCCTCAAATTAAAGCTGACAGTCTGCAGTTAAAGCACATCTTGTTCGCTTCATTTCAAATCCATTGTGGTGGTGTATAGAGCCAAAAATGTTAGAATTGTGTCGATGTCCCAATATTTATGGACCTGACTGTAGCTGATGGGAGATCTAAAGGGGATTGTACAATCAGATTGTATAGAAAGGCAGTATTTTAATGAGGGAGGTGTGCTCCAGAGTAGTGAACACAACCTATCAAACCCCTTTCTGTGATGCAACAAGGAAGTGAAGGCTTCTGGGAAGTGGCCTGCAGGAAGTGAATGCTGAGATATCATCTACAGGAAATGATGAAATCTGAAAATCAATTCAAACATTCAAATAAACTGACAAAATCAAACTACTTGTGGATAAGGTCATAGTTGCCAACATTTCAAAAAACTTTAGGCACACTTTTTTTTCCTATATGACCAGAAAGACAGTGTAGGAGGAGCAATATGTTAATTAGGGGTGGGGCATTAATTTATGCATGTCACCTACTGTAATAAGAAAAAGAGGATGGCAGCGTGTGAAGTGTGCAGTGGCAAAAAATTGGTGAGGTTTAAATTATGGCAAATATTAAGGGTGGCTTAAAGGGGGTGTGGTTAAACAGTCAGATTCTTTTGGGCCCCCCCCCCCCCCCCATGCAATTTTGCTCTCCACCCCAACATCCCAAAAATCAAATAAACACAATCATAGACTTAGCTAAAAAGACTTAATGTAAACATATAGAACTGGTTCACACTCACTGATTGGTTGCTACAGGTTACAGCATATCATTACCGCTCACTGATTGGTTTCTAGACTACAAGACTACAAGGAGGGAGGGGGGACAACTTCCACTTCTGATCGCCTAGGCGATCGCAGTGGAAGTGGGAGCAGGAACCTGTCAAATTTGAGTACCCACTCCCCCCTCCCACTCTCCAAAGGTGCCAATCCTTAATGGGAAGCAGGGGACAAAGCATTAAAGCGGAACTTCCCCTTTTGGGTGGAACTCTAAATGACTACATGACTAGATAATAGTGGTATTAAACACAAAAAACAACATTTATTATTTTGCAGCTTATCAATTCTTAGATGTGGTGGATACATTCGTTTTCTTTTTTAGGCTTTTTTTCCTTTATTTCTACCTGCTGATCTGGCCAGGAAGTTTGTTGCTTTTCAAAAGAACAAGCTCTTATGAAGATTTAGCAGTTACGAGGTTGATGCAAAGCATTTACCACTGATAGGGGTGCTGACAATGATCAGTTTTATTTGTTTATGGAAAACCTTAATCCCATAAGGAAAAAAAAAACTGTTGTTCTACCTACTTATACAATTTGGGCTGGAGCTCAATTTCAGTTAGCATCTAAATCTGCTGGCACATCTAACATTCCCAGACTGATAGTTCTGTATCCAAAGCTGCTGTTATACTCATCCGTCCAGAGCGGGGGACACTCTAATAAATTAGGTATGTTACTGACCAGATCACCAGGTGAAAACAGAGGAGAAAAAATCCTAAAAAAGAGAAAACAAATGCCTCCACCACATCCAAGGATTTATAAGCTGCAGTATTACATTTTTGGATTTCATACCGCTTTCATTTATATATCTAATTCACAAAAAAAAGTTTTGGCTATAGTTGGGCTTTATGTAAACAAAACATATACTATATTGCCAAAAGTATTGACTTACCCCTCCAAATCATTGGTTTCAAGTGTTCCAATCACCTCTATGGCCAAAGGTGTATTAAATCAAGCACCTAGGCATGCAGACTGCTTCTACAAACATTTGTGAAAAAATGGGTCTCTCTCAAGAGCTCAGTGAATTCAAATGTGGTACCGGGATAGGTTGGCACCTGTGCAATAAGTCCATCCATGACATTTCCTTGCTACTAAATATTTCACTGTCAACTGTTAGTGTTATTATAACTAAGCGGAAGCAACTGGGAACAACAGCAACTCAGCCACAAAGTGGTAGGCCAGGCAAAATGACAGAGCGGGGTAAGTGTATGCTAAAGTGCACAGTGTGCAGAAGTCGCCAACTGTCTGCAGAGTCAATAGCTAAAGACTTCCAAACTTTGTGTCTTTCAGATTAGCACAACAGTGTGTAGAGAGCTGCATGGAATGGATTTCCATGGCCGAGCAGCTGTATCCAAGCCTTACATCAGCAAGTGCAATGCGTCAGATGCAGTTGTGTAAAGCATGTCACTACTCGATTCTAGAGCAGTTGAGACATGTTCTCTGGCGTGACCAATCACGCTTCTCTGTCTGGCAAACTGATGGACTGACATGTCTGGGTTTGGAAGTTGCCAGAACGGTACTTGCCTGTCTGCATTGTGCCAAGTGTAAAGTTTGGTGGAATGAAGATTATGGTGCAGGGTTGTATTTCAGGAGTTGAGCAGAGAAGGGAACTCTTAAGGCGTCAGCATACCAAGACATTTTGGACAATTTCATGGTCCCAACCTTGTAGGAACAGTGTGGAGATGGCCCCTTCCTGTTCCAGCATGACTGCGCACCAGTGCACAAAGCAACGTCCATGAAGACATTGATGAGCGAGTTTGAGGTAGAGGAACTTGACTGGCCTGCACGGAGTCCTGACCTCAAACCCAACAGAACACCTTTGGGAATCTGAGAGCCAGGCCTTCTCATCCAACATCAGTTCCTGACCTCACAAATGCGCTTCTGGAAGAATGGTCAAACATTCCAATAGACACACTCCTAAACCTTGTGGATAGCCTTCCTAGAAGAATTGAAGCTGTTATAGCTGCAAAGGGCGGGCCAACTCAATATTTAACCCTACGGACTAAGACTGGGATGCCATTAAAGTTCATATGCGTGTAAAGGCAGGCGTCCCAATACCTTTGGCAATATAGTATAGCTTACATAAAAGGGTCCATTTCTGGGGTTTCACACTGGTACTCCTGGCTCTACCCCCCCCAACTTCCACCGAGTGCCAACCATAGAAAGATGTTTCCTGTGGGGGCACTAGTGCCAATCCTGGCTGTTTGCGTCTATTCAGACACACAGCTCTGCTTGGCACCGTCCCCTGCCTACTGCTCACAGGTTTTGACTGACAGCAGCAGGAGTCAATGGCTTCCACTACTCTCAGCCAAGCCTGTGAGAGCGAGGAGAAGAGAGAAGAGCTGCTGCAGAGACTGGATCGAGATTGGATTCAGGTAAGTATTTAGGAGCTGCTGCAAGGTTTTCTACCTTAAATGTAAAGAATGAATTATGGTATAAAACCTTTCACCTTTACAACCACTTTAATAACTCCCCTTTGGAAGTATAGATAAAGCACAGGAGTTCTCATAACCTCTTACTACGTCACAAAGAAGTCATTCAAATTAACACTAGTTGATATCCAGCTGCTGCAAATTTCTAATTGAAAACACATTCATATTTTGGCACCCTTAAATTTTTTTCTGTTTTAGAAGAGTGTTCTAATTATTTCCTCACAAGCCTTTTCCAAGAAATAAAATAATTCTCTTATAATTTATTCTTGGTCCGCCTGCCTGTGAACCAGTTATTATGATACATATGTTGGATCGAGGATACCAACTTCACGAATGAATTCATTAAAAGTTTTGGAGAAGTACAGCTAATGTGCGAAAAGGGTACAGTGATTATAAACTCTCTTTTTAATTTTTTTAAAAATAAGAAACAGGTTTATATGTATTTGCTCTGTTCAATGGAATTGCACGTAGCAGCCTGCAACCTCCTCTTCTCTGGTTCCCTGCCAGTGCTCCTCTTACACACCTGTGAGCTTGATCCTGAGCCACACTGCCTGCGTCTATAGACACAGATAGCATGCTACAGCCACAACCCCACTCCTTTGTCACGGGATTTAACTATGAGAGCCAAGCCTGTGAGTGAGAAGGGAGGGATACTCTATAAACGGGCACAGGGCTGGGTCGAGATAAGACTCAGATAAGAATATGTGGCAAAATGAGGGGGCCTACTGATATCTAAACATTTTTTACCACAATGCAAGGAATGCAATAAGGTGCAAAATGTTTAGGCTTTAGAACCACACAGATTTTTTTTCTAGTAAGTGCATATTTTACTTTAGTTGCTCTGAGTCAGAGACACAATGACCTTTACACTAATTGGAGGTTAGGTAAGGTCCCTGTAAATCCATGAGTTGTACCATTAATGTTTTCACAGGTATCCCCGTATATAAGTAATGTTGCTGTCTGCACTCCCTGCCCCAATGGTAAAATGGCCAACATGTCCCTGACAGACCTTAGAATCAGAGCAGGGCCTGGCACACAGTAAGGGGAAATGTTTTAAGGGTTCATCTTAGAATAGCATCATGTGAAAAATCAGAGCCAAGAGAAATCTTAGGAGGACTTGCCATTGCTGAATACAAGGTGCAGAAATGATTCTTGAGTCTGTCAGGTACATATGTTGACCCTCAGTCAAGTTTAATTGCTGTGGTAGGGGAGGCGCAGAATGAATGCTTCTACAAATACCACACTGAACCAAAAATGTAAAGCAATATTATGCTTATCCCCTATCCACATCTTACATATACTGTATATCACAGGCCTGCATAATTAAGGCTGAATGCCAAGGGTGGCTTTAAAACCCTGGGCACTCTAGGTTTTCAGCTCTGAAATTGGAATTGTGAACTCCTGTGTAATATACAGGTATTTTTTAGCTTAATGTGAAATTTGCTTACACACATCATGTGATTATGTTATTCTAATTGGAATGCTGAATCAAATGATGTTGAATGCTCTCCTACTACCATTAGAAAAAATGGTTTCAAAATATTTTTTTTTAATTGCAATATTTTTTTCAGGCTTTCTTTCAATGGAAACGGTTATTAAATAAATAAATATATACCCATGAAGGAAATAAGTACTTGATCCCCTGCTGATTTTGAATGTTTGCCCACTCACAAAGAAATGATCAGTCTAAAAATCGAATGGTAAGTGTATTGTAACACTGAGGCAGAATAGCAACACAAAATTCAAAAGAAATGCATGTCTAAACAAATTATGCACTGATTTGCATGTTCATGAGGAAAATAAGTATTCGATCCCCTTCACAAAACATGACTTAGTACTTGGTGGCAAATCCCTTGTTGGCAATCACAGAGGTCAGACATTTGCTGTAGTTGGCCACCAGGTTTGCACACATCTCAGAAGGGATTTTGGTCCACTCCTCTTGCAGATCCTCTCCAAGGTATTAAGGTTTGATGGCTGACGTTTGGCAACTCGAACTTTCAGCTCCCTCCACGGATTTTCAATCGGATTAACATTAAGGTCTGGAGACTGGCTAGGTCACTCCAGGACCTTAATGTGCTTCTTCTTGAGTCACTCATTTGTTGCCTTGGCCGTGTGTTTTGGGTCATTGTCATGCTGGAACACCCATCCACGACCCATTTTCAATGCACTGACTGAGGGAAGAAGGTTCTCACCCAAGATTTGATGGTACATTGCCCCATCCATTGTCCCTTTGTTGCAGTGCAGTTGTCCTGTCCCCTTGGCAGAAAAACACCCCTAAAGCAGAATGTTTTCACCACGTTTGACAGCTGGGATAGTGTTCTTGGGGTCATAGGCAGCATTCCTCTTCCTCCAAACACGGCAAGTTTAGTTGATGCCAAAGAGCTCGATATTGGTCTCATCTGACCACAACACTTTCAACCAGTCCTCCTCTGCATCATTCAGATGTTCACTGGCAAACTTCAGACGGGCCTGGACATGTGCTTTCTTGAGCAGAGAGACCTTGTGGGCACTGCAGGATTTCAATCCTTGTCGGCGTAGTGCGTTACCAATTGTTTTCTTGGTGACTGTGGTCCCAGCTGCCTGGAGATCATTGACAAGATCCTCACATGTAGTTCTGGGAGGATTCCACAATGTTCTCATGATCATTGACACTCCAATAGGTGAGATCTTGCATGGTGCACAAGACCTAGGGAGACTTGACAGTTTTGGGTTTCTTCCATTTGCAAATGATTGCACCTACTGTTGTCACCTTCTCACCAAGGTGCTTGGCGATAGTTTGGTAGCCCAGTCCAGCTTTGTGTAGGTCTACAATCTTGTCCCTGACATCCTTGGACAGCTCTTTGGTCTTTGCCATGGTGAAGAGTTTGGAATCTGATTGTTTGATTGCTCCTGTGGACAGGTGGCTTTTATACAGGTAACAAAATGAGATCAGCAGCACTCCCTTTAAGAGACTGCTTCTAATCTCACCTTGTTACCTGTATGAAAGACACCTGGTAGCCAGAAATCCTGCTGAATGATAGGGGATCAAATACTTATTTCCTTCATGAACATGCAAATCAGTGCATAATTTGTTAGGCATGCATTTCTTTTGAATTTTATGTTGCTATTCTGTTTTTCAGTGTTACAATACACCTACCATTCGATTTGTAGACTGATCATTTCTTTGTGAGTGGGCAAACATTCAAAATCAGCAGGGGATCAAAATTCCGTGTGTGTGTGTGTGTGTGTGTGTGTGTGTGTGTGTGTGTGTACATACATACATAACACCTACATATACATATATATATATATATATATATATATATATATATACACACAGTTGTGTTCAAAATAATAGCAGTGTGTTGAAAAAAGTGAATAAAGCTCAAAATCCTTCTAATAGCTTTTATTTCCATACACACAAATGCATTGGGAACACTACACATTCTATTCCAAATCAAAACATGAAGAAAAATATATCAAATTTGTGTTGTTCCTCTAAAAAAAATTGAAGAAAAGTGAATATTAGACTGTTCAAAAAATAGCAGTGTTTGTATTCTTCTTTACAAACTCAAACATTCACTATATAAACTGAAAAATCTTTGAAGATTTTGAAGACCTGTGATGGGAAGAGCCAACCTCCATGACTGTCCCTTCTCCTTACTCCTGTTTACTACATCCCCATTGCCATATGGCAGCATCATTCATATTACGTATTCTTTTCTTCATATTGATGATGTGTATAAATGTCATTGTGGAATGACTCTTGTGGTATTCAAAGCCTGTCAACAACCTTACTGTGCATACTCAGTCATAGTGGAGTACTTGTTTATGTTCTTGCTAAGCACAATGGTGTTAAAGATTTGTATTGCTTTGTATTTCTTTTCCTGTACATTTTTGTATGGTTTGTATAACCTTGTCTAAAAGGAATAAAAATAATTAACAAAAAAAATAGTCACTGGTCATAAGGCAATTGATATGCGTAGGTTTCATTTTCAAGAGTCAAATTTTCTTGCAGCCAAAAGGCAGCTGGATGGTTTTAAACTATCATCTGCGTCTCAGTTGGCTGGTCAGTGAAGGGCCTAGGAAGATGGACCCTGGTACTAGACATGGCTCACTGATTGAGATGCAATCATAATGTTTTGCATATACAATTTACTTACTATAAAACGTTTGCAAAAGAAACCATTATGCTTTACTTTCCATGGAAGTGGAAAATCTATTTAATATTTGATTTGAATTT